GTTGGAGAGTCCAAGATCTTAGGCGGGAATGGTGGATCAGATCTTGAAAGAATCTCAAAGTTACAAGAACACTTAACTTGAAAAATTGCACAGGAAGAAAGCAGCCATCTCGGTGGTTGGAGCACAGGCCAATGGCAGTCTTCCTGAGTGACTCTGATGGAAGCTGTAAATCATGACAAGCTGTACATTTTGCAGATAAGCTTAATGTAGTTCATATAGTATTGCCCTTGCTACTCAGGAGATGGGTATTTTATTACATAGTAACTGACACTTCTGTGTAAACACATTTCCAAATAGGTCACAGTAAGAAGACATGAAAACTCTGGTGAGGTTAAATTCTAGAGGTGTGGTGTGACTGGAGTCTCTTCACCAAGGAGAGAAAGGTGTGCTAAAGACTGTTTTGCTACCTTGACGTTGTGAAAGTACAGAGGAAGAAGGGGCACGCTTTTTACATCCTGTTGTGAAAAACTTCTTTGACAAAGTTCTTTTCTCTCTCCTGTCATTTGGTTGAGGACTGAAGCAGTTCCCCCAGAACTTTCAAAGGACAGTGCAGAAGAACAAGCATATGATTGCTTATGTGAATTGAATGTCATGGGGCTTGCTGTTAAATAGGTTTGATGTAAAAGTGAGCTATGGTTGAGAAAGCCACATTTAGAAATCTTCAAGTCAACGTCTGGTGTTGTATAGCTATTTAGATACCACAGGGATGCTCAGATACCATATTATGGGTTGGAGAAATGTTGAATTTCAGCGGCCGTACAAGACGGCCTTTGGTCCTCCAGCTTTACCCAGTGAAACCACTTAGAGAAGGAGGAGCTGGAGACAGTCATATTGATGATGGAATGAATGTCATGTGAACCTGAAGAGTTATAAAAGAGCAGGCCAAGGAACTGTCAAGAATGTTGAAGCTAGTTTTCAGTACATTTTAAACATCGTAGATATTTCAAAGTATTAATGTACCAATACTAAGCTTAGGTAACATGGGTAACCTAAAGGCTTGTCACTGGCAACAAGACTAAGCAAAAATAGTGATGCAAAACCTATTCAAATAATGACTTTAAGAACTTAAAGGGTGGAAGTGTAGTTAATGTCAAACAAAGCAAGTTTAAAGAAAATGAGTCTTTTCAAACTGTTTTCTTTCCTTTGAACTACAACTTTGGATGGTAAAAGTAATAAACCAATATACTTAGAATACTTAATGCATTTCCTTGGTAATACATGGTATCTTGATTTATGAAACAATAATAGTGAAAAGTCAGTGTAGCACTCTCGAACTGAATGTTTGTGTGGTCTTCAAATTCATCTACGAGGAAGCAGGAAAATGTATTTCAGGGGAATCCTGCTGAGTCGTTTCTAGATGATTTTTTATTAATAATCAGAATGTTAAAAGGGCAGCATCAGGTTGTGTGGGTGATGAGCAATAAGGAGCGGAGAGATGACTGTAAACTATTATCTGTGTATGCAGTAACTGTTTAGTAGTTAGATGTAAGCAAAAGATGTCCCTATATGCTTGCCTCTGGTTAAATGTAAATCCTTAAATCTAGGGCGAAGAATGCAGACTATACTTATTTTAGTGTACTAGCATTACTGAATGCAGACTGTGCACTAGGATATACCATCCTAGTCTGAAAAGGTTGTGTATGTCATGGCTTGCTATAAAATGGATGGCAGTTCTCTCTACCTTGAGGGTTGTTAAAGGAGGGTGGTTGAGAGAAGGATTCGGATACCTTGGTCTATTTGGGTTAAGGAGTGTTGTGATTACAGCTGGTAAATGCCTGTGAGATGACATGCATTTGATAATCTGAGCTCTTCAAGAAGTCAAGAAGAATGTATCAATGACTTGATATTGAAGCTAGGTAAGTTCATGTTAAAACCATGATGCATACCAGATACGTATTTCTAACACAGAGGGTAATGAATCATTGAAACAAATCACTGTGTCTTTGGTGGCTTCTCTGTCCCTCGACATTTTTTGATCAACATTAGAGATAGATAGGTAAATAAATAAATAAGAAGATATGCTGACAATGAGGCCCAGCTTTTGAATCTGGAACGAGATTTCCCATAATGAAGTCCTATGTTTAGTAGTATGTAGGATGTCCTTCTGCCCTTAAGATCTACAAATCTGAACAAACACATTTGGTCAGTGATAATAGTGAAGTAAAAAAGACATAGCATGCATTATGTAATTTTTCTTTTCCTTTTTTAGATTTATTGTCTAGAATAGACTTGGATGAACTAATGAAAAAAGATGAGCCACCACTTGAATTTCCTGATACTCTGGAAGGATTTGAGTACATTTTTAATGAAAGTAAGTCGTATATGCTTTGTAAAGGCTATACTTAGAATAATGTTGAGAGGTTATCAGAACTTTAATTATACCTTATAAGTCCCTATTAGAATTTCACACTTTTCTGTTAAGGATAAAATTTTAAGCCTTAGTGTTAACAGACTTGTAAATCTAGCTAAGTAATATTTTTTTATTTCATAAAATAGTAACAAAAATCCCTCATTTTATACAATACTGTAGGTTTGTATTGTGCATACTTTATGACTTCCTGTTTTCTATTACAGAAGTGTCGATACAAAAATTCTGAAAGTAATTTCTGTAGCATTAGCATTAAAAAGCAAAATTAAAGAGTGGTCACTCATTTAAGAAACATTTTATTTACGGATTCATTTTTATGGATACAAAAGAAGCTATTATTTAGCTAATAATTTATCCCAGATATTTCATTAATACCAGTAGGAAAACACCTATTTATATTGATGGAAGGATGAGCAATGTGATAGATTGTCTCTTACTCTTCTGGTGTGGGTCACGGTTTTGCATTACAGCTAAGGGTGTGATGACTGCAAGTACTTCCACCTAGCTGAATCTGTGTGTTAAATGAGTTAGTAGTATTTATAATTTCCAGTGCATACATTTTAAAATCCAGCTGAGAAATAAGCCTCTGAGCTGATGTAACACCAGACTCCAGGAAATGGCTCTTTCAAGATTGTTTGAAACCTGTAGGACAAATCGGGACGTTTACAGTTCTACTTTGCAGTGCCTGTTCTGTGAACAGAGGAACTTTAGTTTCTAAATCTGCCTGTCTTACATCTTCCACTTTTAAAGAAAAAAAAGAGCTTTCCTTTAAATGATAGTCATTTATGCAACACTTAGCTTTTTAATACCCTGATGGCTTTCACAGGAAGGTACTTAGAGACTAAAAGTGTCATGAAAGTGATGCTCTTTCTTTGATGGGAGGGGTTCAGCTCTGTCACTTTTCAGCTCCTTATTTTTAGATCTGCACAGTGTCTACTGTCTTCCTTACCGACTTCAGAGTTAATGGTTCATGTGTGGTTGATAAAAAGGGCTGAAATTTGAGTTTTGGGGAATGATGTTTTAGAATGATATTACTGAATATTCCATCACTAACCTCACAGCCTGAGTGATTTCCATAGAATGCAGCAAAACCTATTACATATGCTACTGGTCAGCAAAGCAAAAAGGTCTCCGTTTTGCTTCTGTACATTTAATTCAAATGTTCAGTCATGTACTCTTATGTCATAATCGTGCTTCTTTTTATGATAGAAAAGTAAGGAAGATTTTTGTCAGATTTAAAGAATCTGAAGAAGACAAGGGTTCCAGAAAGCCAAAGAAAAGATATACCAGATATTTGCTCCACTTTACTTGTGGAGAGAGCAACTTCATGTACTGTTGAAGGGCATACTTGAAGAGTAACTAGCTGAGAAGGAACAGCTGAAGGTAGAGTTATGATGAAAATATGAGAAAAAGGATATTTGGACCTGAGACAGGGATATGAAGCTGGGGAGAAATACTCCCTTGGTGTCTAGTACATGAGGTAAGACAGGTCTGGAAAAAAATGTCTAATAAGCAGGTAAGAGTATCTATTAGAGATACCAGATCTTAAATATTGTATTTAAAACATCAAGAATCAAAACGTAAAGGTCCTGAAAAGTTGTGAACTAGGTTAGCAATTTCTTACTATTGAAGAGGAAATATTTTGCTGAGGAACCTTACTTTCATCATGCAGACATTTCAGCTTTCAAAGGAGATACTTGTACGTATCCCTGTTTTTAATGTTTCTCTGATTTACTGCAATTCTGTGATTTTCTGAGACCATAACTTGTGTTTTGTCTAATAAGCTGAAACATTACTGGTAAGGTGTCTGTTTTCTGCAGTGTGCTTCTTATTTGGTTGCCATTTTTTTATTATTGTTACTTTAACTCAGTTGACATCTTCATCTGTGGTTGGGTATGCTACTAAACTTTTGCTATAAACAAAGGCAACTGCAGAAAGTTACATTGGAATCTAAGAATATCATGTGGTTTTGCCCTGATCGAGCATTCTGCTTTGTTCTAATGTTGTAATCTCAGTGTACCCTGAATCTAAGAGCTCTTACTTGATTGCACTGTGCCTAGGAGTTAAGATATTTACCTTAACTGTGGACACGGGGTTTTTTTAAGATTAATTTAGAATGTTGTTAATCTTGAAAATAAGTGTTTCCTTTCTTTCCAGCCTCCAGCTCAATTTGTACTCACATTTCTTCATAAATGCAGTTGGTTTTGAAGTAGGGGATTTGTAGCTACAATTTGATCACCTAATTGACATTGAAGATCAAATATTAACTGCTAATGTTTACATTTCACTGTTAATCCATAGAGGTTGAGACATAAATATTTCTTGCAAAGCAGTTTGGCATTTGGTATCTGCATGTAATTTCACTGTCATCACTTGCGTTTATCTAACCATGTATACAATTCAGGGGGAATGCATGTTGTTGTTATGCCACAATTGTTTTCCTTCAAAAATACTATAACCAAAAAAGGAGAAGGAATTAGTAACAGCCCAATTTTTAGATGTAGACTTCTTTTAAAATTTTCAGCAATTAAATGTATTTTACTTTTAATGAAGTATATTAAAATGTAATGATTTTGTTTCTTTTACAGAAGGGCAGTTAAGGCACATAAAAACTGGGGAGCCGTTTGTTTTCAATTATCGTGAAGATTTGCATAGATGGAACCAAAAGCGCTATGAAGCTCTTGGAGAGGTATATAAATTGTGTGCGTGTATGCATGCGTATATGTATTGGTATGCTGTGGTTTTTGTTGCGTTTCCCTGTGGAAGTGATACTTTTATATATGTTAAAAAAGATTTAGTGAGGCTGCAGTCATTTAACAAAAGGCATTTCAGGATTTGTTGCGTGTTAATGCTCTAACAGTAATTTCCATTATTTGCTATATAGCTTAAGATGTGATTTAGACTACAATTTGACTTCAGTTTATGTTCAAAGTAGAATATCATCTAGATCACACAAATCAGAGAATATTACGAAGTGCAGTATTTTCTTTAACTTTCTTCTCAAGGCGAAGCACTGGGTACAAAACTGTGGTGTTTTACTTTCTAGCTGAAGATAAATATATCGGCTGGTTTTCTCATGTGACCAGGAGATACCAGGAGCCACCAGATTGATTAAGTAGAGATCTGATGGTTATTTGATTAAATATTTGCTGTACCAGTAGCATCCAAATATCTAATACTTCCCAGGCTTTTTGTACGGATGTTGTGGATGTAGTAGGTGTAGAAGTGACTGACCATGGTTCCTTTTTTCTGTGAAAATGACTTGAATTTCAGTGCCATGCTTTTTGTAATGCTTTAGGAGTCAGAGCATTGACTAAAGAAAGGCATCTGATCTCAGTGAATGCAGAACAGTGTGTGCTGAGGTCTTCCTTGCACTGTCACAACCTCCCCTGCCGAACAGAAAGAACAGCCTCAGCACCCTCACCTCTAGGTAGTAATGCTGCTTAAGTCAGAGTGGCTTTTGGAGAAAGGGGATGCACAGCTCTGTGCACAAACTAGGGGCTTTTTCTTGGAGACTATATAATGTTGCCTGGCCATTTCTGTCAGAATCATCATGGCATGTCATTCAAGAACTGCTTGTCTACTTTCATTAGTGTTACTGTTTTAATAATGATTAAACACATTTATTACCCACTTACTCATTGTGTACATTAATTCTGACTACTTGGAGATATGTTTGATTGTGCATGTTTAGACATCTTGTCTTTTAAACTTTCTTGTTGTCATGGTTTAACCCCAGTGGGCAGTTCAGCCCCCCACAGCTGCTCGCTCACTCCCCACTGTGAGATGGGGGGGAGAATCAGAAGGGTAAAAGTGAGAAAATTCATGGGCTGAGGTACAGGAGAAAATTTGTGGGCTGAGATACAGTGTAATAGGTAAAGCAAAAGCTGTGCGTGCAAACAAAGCAAAATAAGGAATTCATTCACTACTTCCCATGGGCAGGCAGGTGTTCAGCCATCTCCAGGAAAGCAGGGCTCCATCACGTGTAACGGTGACGTGGGAAGACAGATGCCTTTTTGGAAGACAACTCCACACGTCCCCCCTTCCTCCTCCTTTCCTCCAGCTTTATAGGCTGAACATGACATCGTACGGTGTGGAATATCCCTTTGGCCAGTTTGGGTCAGCTGTCGCGGCTGTGCCCCCTCCCAGCTTCTTGTGCACCCCCAGCCAGTATACTTGTGTACTAAACAGTAAAAAGAAAATTAAAATGTCTGAAATGACAGCCAGTCCTACACTGTTGCAAAGTAAATAGTATAAAGCATCTTGATTGAGTTTCTTGTATGGATAAGTGAGTATATACTTAAATTTATCACCAAATAGCTTCATATATTTTCTCATGCTGCCAAGAGTGCATTTGTTGAAGCTGAAGAAATATCTAATTACATGGTCTCTTCTAGGTATAGCAGGGTAGGCTCTGGGAACTTCTGTAGGCACTGAGCATGCGGGCTCAAGAAAGGAGGGCATGGCAGAAGTCTCTGCCCATCTTGATTAACAGGAATAGCACACCATCTGTCCTTAACCTCTGCCGAGCGGTGATCTGGTGCTCTGTGGCTAGCTCAGCCCCTCTGTTTCATTCAGGGGTCAGCCTGGGCTCTGTGTGGGATGTGCTGAAGCTGCCCAGCTGTTGAGCACTGCTTTGTCCTGCCAGACCTTTGTTCCTGGGGATTGAAGAACCTTGCTTTTTACCTCTTCCTCCTCCTTCCTGCAAGAACTGTGGCAGGGGAGGAGATGATGGGGCTACTGCTGCTGCTTGTCACATCCTTTCACCTCAACTGTATGTTTTTCCAAAACAGGGAATGTGCTGTTGCCCAATCTGTTGCATTGTCTAAGTTACTTGATAGACATTTCTTCCAGCAGGAAACAGATTGACACCTATTCCATGGTCCGTATGCGCAGACCTTTGTGTGTGCCTGTATTGTTCAAATATGCCCATTTTCCAAATAAATGAGTTGGACAAGACATGGCTACGAAGATTAGTACGTCTCCATGTGGGCTCCTGTACCATCACACCTTCTTGTACGTGTTTGGCAACATCATAAAATTCCTCATTCTGCGCATCTGAATAGTGAGTGCCGCAGCTTCAACCCATCGTAGTATGAATGACTTTTTGTGATTTTTTTTGGTTAACAAGGAGGTGGGGTGTGCTTATGGAGTGGGTGCCTTACGTCTGTGATCTGTCTTGTGCATTTTGCCTTAGTTGTAGTCATTCTCCGTGTTCAGGTTTGAGTGATCTTTGAAAATGCACTTTGTTTATATTGGTTGGTAAAAGGCAAGGAGGGTTTGAGGTCAGGAATCTGATGGGGTGAATTGTTCTAAGTTGCTTATTTGTTTTGTGTTTTTAGAGAATAAAGAAACTCATCTGTGTTTCAGTTTGTTGTCTGCTAGGTGCTTGATGCTACACAGTTCTTCCAACAAGCCACAAATTTATAAATGTTCTGTTGTCTGTTTTTGGCACAGAGTGTTTATATAGTTATCTGAGAACGCAGGGGATGCTGAGTGGCAAGACCCTTGGCATTTGTTCACATAGATAAAACCTCCTCCTCTGCCAGAGATTGGTGGGTCACTGATGTAGATGTTGAATAGTGCAGAAGCAGTATATTGTCCTCTGATTAGCTATTTTGTAGTCTAGGGTAAGTTGTGTTCAGCAAACTGTGATAGCTTAAGAAGCAGCAGCTCATATAATTAGTAAGGTGATGTAGTAAAATCTGGTCATAGGCCTTCACTTTGAAACATCATCCTTTGGCTTTAGGAGTTCTCTAACGTGTATTTGTGGCGAAACATTTATGTAGCTAGACATACAGTGAGATGATAAAGCAGCTAGACTTGTATCATCAGACGAAAGTGTTTTATATATTCAGTGTTTCCATTGTTAGCTCAGTCATTGTATGCTGGTTTTCTGATTTTTAAAGGATTTACCCATCCTGCCCAAGGCAACTCTTTTTTTACTGTTACATATATATTGTGGGCTGCTTTTATTGTGTTTTACTAATTTTAAGAAGTGGGTATACTTCTGGTCTTATGTTACAGCATCATTCTCTCTTTCTTGAAGCATTAATAAATTTCCATTTGGTAGTCCATGATTTTTTGCTGCTAAAAGCCATGAATACACTATCTGTGATGTTCTGCCATTACTCTGGCTGTATGGAAATTGATTCTTCACAAATCACAATGGTTCGTCAACGTCTCCACTTCTTATGTCTCTTTATTCTTCATTCATTGATCTGTTATTTCAGGCACACAATTTGTTCTGCAGCCTCTTAATATGTGCTCCTAATAGACAATTTAGTGAACTGTTCATAATTTTGTGATTCTGGTTCAGTCATTGCTATTGCGGCATTGAATTTTGTGGAGAGCCTCTCCATTTGCTTTTTAAAAATTAAAATGGCAAGAGAAGTGCACAGAACATGGTGTTGCAGCTGCTTCTAACTGCCGATTAATCCATGTGGCAAGTTTGAAGTACGATTGAGAACAATTTTATGACAACAATTCAGTTGTTGCAGACGTACTGTTCCAGTTCAAGGTTGAATTTTTTTTTTTTTTCTGGCCAGGAGTTTTGGAGGTTTGGATTCTAGGTTAAACTCCAAATTAGACTCACATGAGGTATGTCTTCTTGCATTTTAAGTTGATGTCTGTGTTTATTGTTTGTACTGCACTTTCAATTGATATTATGGCTACTGAAATTGCCAACAGTCAGGTTCAGCCCCTGCTTGATCATGACATTGAAATTAGCTGGAATTATAAAGAAAATAGTACTAAAATCTGTTGCTGGGATTTTACCTTGCATTTTGCCAGTCATATAGGTTGTGTTGATAATAAGACTGTTTGAGAAAGATTATGCTGACATTCTGCTTCCATGGTTTTACAGTAACCAGAGTATCCCTAGCATCAGTAGGCAGTTAATGTCTGTCCCTCTGTCTGTCTCTTACAACTCTAGCACTGGGTAATTATAATTTGGTGATTGCTTGGAGGCCATTTAATATTTGCAAGTGTTTTTGTGAGTGCCATCACTAATGAAGAGGCTTTTACCTCTACTGACAGTTTGCCTGGCTGCCCATGTCTTTAAATAAGTCACATAGGATTTCTAAATATGTAGATTATAATGTGGACTGTGATATAAATGCCTCTGCTGTGGTCCTGTTCAAGGACTAGTGTATGCCATCTCTTGTAATTGCAGCCTGTCTGACCTGCAGAAGTGTATAAGCAGGTAGCAGAAGAGTTGTGGTTATATTTTTACAGTTAGCACACCATAGCACAAGAAAATACCTTATATTTATGTAGAACAGATACAGAAAGCAAAGAAATAGAACATCTAAGTCAGAAATTCCTTGCATGTTTCATGTATGGTAAGATACAGTTAATTTTACATCATCAGAGAAGTCTTGTCCGTCTAAATAAACTGCTTTAAAGTATGTACGCAGTGTTAGGTCCAGCTCATCATAAAGTAGATTAACCATCAAGGTTGGTATTTGTGTGTGGGGAAAAAATAAGTATGTAGAATTATGACAATGACAACCCATAATTAAAATCGCTAAGTAGTAAAATGGGATTTTTTTTTCCAGATCTCCTTTAAGTTAAAGAACAGCTTGGTCTCAACATAATTTAAAAAATAAGCGTTCACCTGCTACTAATTTCCTCCTTGGTTGCAAAGAGCATTATTTGTTTGGATGACTGAGAGAAAGAAGCTATTTA